ATTCCTGCTCCAGCAGGACGCCAGCCCTTCCCTCCACGCTTGCCGTGGGCGCAGGAGCACCTCACCTCGCTGTTCCGGACAGGAACCAGGGTCGCTGCAGCCATGGTACAAGCTGCTGCCACAGAATACAAATGGGACCCATTCAGAGTCGCGCCTCGCCCTGCCAAGGAGTGAGTCTCCCTCAAACACACTTGCAGTTGGCACTGTGTGCTACTTCTTCGGCTTGAAATGCACAAACAAGTCTTTTCATCACTGTCTCCATCCTTCACAAGGATCTCCGACTACACAAAGAACTCCATTTGAATTGGGTAAATCCTTGCAATGACTTGAAACATATATTAGAGGCGACAAGTAACCGACAAACAAACAAATGAAAAACCAAGACTGGATCCTGACCTTGTTTACATTACCAAGAGTAACTACTCAAGTAATCAGGGCAAATCAGAAGCAAACTTCATGTTTGGGAATGCTCCACGGGACTGTACGTACCTCAGGGAAATAGTCCTGTGGAAACTTCTCTTTCTCCAGCATGGGCGTGCTTTCTAAAGTGTCTGAGTAGATTTCTTTCCCAGTAACCTTCTTATACTTCTTAGCTAGGAAGAGATATAAAACAGAATTAACATACACATCTTTATAAGCAACTTGCAGCACTCATTGGTGAAGCAGTGGCACATGTGAAATAGGTGGAAGGGTCTGAGCACAAATATGCAAACACTGAGCTGTTCTGGGGGAAAAAACAGAGCGTGCTAAACCACGTATAAATATACTTGTCTATGGGTGCTGTTATTTTTACTGAGCACTGTAAAGTGTGGGAGCTCTAATGGTGAACCAGGTCTCTGCACACCCTTGCTCTCAAACTTTCTGGCATGGTTCTTCCAGGAGATGCCTGTTTGTGTCCTCAGCCAGCATCCAGTGATGGACGCTGGATCATCAACAGGAAAATTAAGTACCACAGAACACGTTAAGTTGAAAAATGTCACTTATGAGTAGTGATTACCTGTGTGTTTTAGCTAGCAACTTTTTTTTTCAGATTTTAAGTCTAAGCATCAACTGATGCACATCTGTAACACGCTATTAATCACACCTTTTACCCATCAACCAAGCTCATAACCGTTCATTTAGATCATCTCAGCCTTTTGCTTTAAACCAACAACACTGACAATCACCATTGCCTCAGCGTCTGGCCACGCTTCAATCGCCCACTGGGCTAGCTGTGCCAGTGGGGGCTGACTTTCATCACGCTAGAACTGACCCAGTAACACTGGTGGAACTCCGAACGGAAGGTGAGCTGCCCACAAGCTGAGCAGCCCGTTCCTTCTGGGGAGCTGCTCTGAGGTAGACTTGGTTTTAATTAACAATCGCCTCTGCAAAGAAAGGTGACATCCTCAGGCCACCCACTGACGGCATTCAAATACTGCAATGCCCTGAGACAGAACAAGAAACGTGAAAGTACAGTCCTTGTACGAACAGACCGAATGTTCTCCCTCAGGGAATACACCACACCAAACCCAAGTGGGTTACTGAGTGGTCTGGAACAGGGAAATTCGGGACTTCTCTCTGCCATGTCCTAAACCAGAAATGGGCACAGTCAATGAAATTCAGAACCAGCAACACGAACCCTGACAAAAAGAGGAAGCTCATTTTCTACCTAACGCTTTGTTTTGCCGGGCAAATCGCCGTCCCAGGCTGTGCGGCTTGAGCAAGGTCCTGGAAAAGGTATCTGCAACTATTTAAATACCCACAACAGAAATCACACGTGCATCAACAGCGGCTTAGAGCTGTTAAGGTTCAAGGCCTAACCAAAACAGACTCCTCGTAGCTGCCCATCAGGATTTCCTCTGGGCCCCTGCCACGTTTAGCAGCAGCCACCGGGCCAGACGGAACAGGTTTGATGGTGGAGCAGGCCTGGGGGAGCACAGCCACCCCGAGGCACGGGCGGGAGCGATGCGCAGCTCCGCCAGCGTCCCCGCTACCCACCCTCCATCGGCCCAGAAGGCCAGTACTTAAATTGAGTTTCAGCTGGGTGTTCCCCAATCAGTTAAGTGACTGAAAACGATTAAAAACCCATCCGATCTCAGGGCACAAGGCAGCCTTTTTGCTCCTTATTTCCTCCTGAAACGTCCTGTGCTTACACACGCAGCTCAGTCAGCTCTGAATTATTTGTCCAGACACTTGCAAACGCTGAGAGCACGGTCTTACTTTTGAAAGGCCTTCACTGACACTAGGCCTGCTACATCCGCTCTCCCCATCAGATATCTCAAACCAAGAACGTAAAAAGCTCGCTCTGGGGATGTGGAGAAGACGAACTGGACTCGCTCCATCCGAATCCCGTGCTGGCGTGAGGCAGAGATGCGAATCTGAAGTTGGAACCGGAGCGGTGTTTGTCGAGGAGACACATCACCTTGCAAAGCCTTCGCTCAACGGTGAGGCTACCTCATGGGCTGAAGGAGCACCCTGCTCAGCCTCAGTCAATCTGTGGATCTATACAGCCCGCAAACAGGAGATTCTTCTTCTCGATCCACTTCGCACTCGCTCTCTCTCCCGATCGCCTGAAGGCGAGAGCCTGACTTAATTGAACAAACCCCTCCGGCACAGGAATTCGGGCAGCTCCCTCACAGCCACCCTGAAGCTGGAACTACGCAACTGAATGGACTAGATGACCTCTAGGGGTCCCTTCCAACCCAAAACATTCTATGATTCTATGAAGTGTTGACTAGGAACGCCTAAGAGAAAAACTCCAAACCTACTGTTATCAAGAGCCCTGAGCCGTCCAGTTCTACTGGATATCTGGTAAAAATAGCTAGCAATACAAAAACTTGTCACGTTAAGTTGTCTCGATAAAGTATTTTATATAATCTGAGGAAGCATTTACTGTAATGTAGCAATATATCTTCAGGGGAAAAAAGAAGTATCGTTCTTTATGTGCCAATCACTTTGAGATCTGGCTCCCACAGGAAGACTAAACAAATATCCTGATAAACTAATGTGGCATCGTTCTAAGCGGATCATGGATGGATGTGCCTCTTTCAGTTAAGTTTAACGGTGTCAGCAAAAAGACCCCGATGTCATTCAGGATACAGAAAACGTTTGGCAGAACCGTAAGGTCTGAAGGCTTCTGCTGTGAGGACGTAAGAAAAAGGCAGCACTTGGCAGGGAGGAGGCCCTTCGCCATCAGCTAACGTTGCCATCGGTGCTAAATATGGACCAGCCATTCATTTACGTGGCTGCTGAGAAGCAAAAGCAGGGGGAAAGAAGCGTGCCCTCTCATCTATCTCCAAGTAAAAATGCTTCTGCACGATTTCCGATTTCACACCCAGGAAACCGAGATTCTTCCTGTACATCAGCGTGGCAGAGACTGGAACTGGCCCAGTACCCCAGCCAGCAACCCCCTCTGGGGATGGCCCTTTGGAACACAGAGCTTGTCAACAGTTTAAACTGCAAGCAAACTTTCAGGCCTCTGACCACTGCAAAAATGCAGCCCAGCACTTTCTATGCTGCAGCAAATAATATGCGAGGCTGTAGGAGAAAACCGTTCTCATTTTAAAACTCGAGTATGTCTTCCTGAGAACTGAAAAGCAGGGACAATCTTTTTTTTCCTGAAGACTGTATTCAGGCACATCCGACTGCGCAGTGAATTTTGAAAAGACACAGTGATGTTACAGGAATATTGAATTGTATATAAACACCTATTTTTTGCATGCTTTTGAGTAGAGCCAGAATTCCGTAATGATTTTTGTGCAGAGAACGTTTGTATCCATTTGGGTTTCTCCTCTGATTGAGGAGCTGAATACACTGTGAAAATGCCAATAGTCATGAGAGAAGAGGCAGGTTTTACATTTCCCCTGAAAGATGGGAGCCTTCAGGGTCGTATTTTACAAACGCTACACTGGGAGACTGATTCTGCTCCCCATTAAGAGAACAGCGGGTGACTTACAGCACCGACTCAGCCCAGCACCTGCTTTCCTCAGGTTTTTATTGAGTTTTTTCTTTCCAAGTGATGACTGGACCAAACACATCTTTCTGTGGTTTTGCTAAGGTTTTACCAAGCAAAATGAAGCACTGAACATTTAGAGCATTTATTTTCTGCAACAAGTATCTGCTTATTTCCTGTATATTGGTTCTTTTCCCCTACACTTTTCCCCTCCATTTTCTCACTTTTTTTTTAATTCTTACATTTTCACTTAAAAGCCAGACAGTAGCGAATAAGCTGCCGATCAATGATTAATAAACTCAGAAAGCTCCTCTTTTCCTAAACCAGTTGTCACTTTGCTCTGTCAGATGTCGCCAGGGCAGGACACCTCTCCTCTACGACCAGCAGAAGCGAACTTTAGGTGGCATTCCGAGTGGAACTGCTCGTGCTCCAGGGCGGGTGCCGTGAAGTCGGAGGCTCAGGCATTAGGCGTGCAGACACAGTACACGTGTTGCTGACACACAAAGCCATGCACATGGCAAAATGGATAAACAGCTAGGAATGGTGGACTGGCAGGCTGCTTAATCCAGGCGCTGGGTACCACCTCGCACGCCCAGCCTCACGTGCAATGCCCATTTCCTTCAGTACTGGCACCCCGCACACGGTTCGTCCGATAACACCGTCATTATTTAGCGTCTGCAGAACAGTTCTCCTCTGGCAGAAAGTCTAGGTGTGACCTCTCCTCAGGAGTCCCTACATCACTATTGGGTCTTGCAGTGCAGTCTCTCAGAAATAAAATCTACTCCGAACTGCCTACAGCATCGCAGCCAAAACTTTCCTTCGGCATTGAACCCAATGATGTCAGGAGGAGTTACGCTGGCTAAATCTTCCGTTGCTATATACGTAGAACTACCATTCAAATATTTCAGGGAAGGAAGGCCCTGTACCCTCAATTACACGAGCAGAGAGAATCTGTCTCTACTGAGAACAAAAATAATGAATCTATGTAATTAAGACAATTAGTTCACTCCACAGTTACCACCATTTCAACAGTGCCTCAAATTAATGGGATGCTAGATGTAGTCTTAATGTGATTCAGCTCTGTAAGCTAAATGAAGCTCAGAAGATTTCTGCATTTAATATACAGACGGTTCTCAACTGAAAATACATAAATTTTGTATAATCTTTTCTATATATACCTCAGGAAGCATTCAGCAATTTTCTACGACATTTCTAATATTTAATCTACATAGCCGAGCATTACTTTTAAACTTCGGAGATTTAGCAAGACCTCCAACCTGATGGATCAATGTGGGTTAAAAACAACGACACCCTCCTACTGACCTGCACTGCTCCAAAGTAATTTAAGCCATAAATCTACCCCAGCTGCTTTGCAAAATGACCATCGCTGTCGGACATTTAAGGTCTTGGTCCTATATCTAATCTACGTGGGAGAACCTTGTGGCCATTCAGAGTTCTTTGGAAATCATCAGGGATCTCTATGGATCCAAAGGTCCATCTGCATGGGAATGATTAATGCACCGGTTTTCAACCTGTGGCCGGTCCATTGACTTCTCCTAAGAGGTCTATAAAAGGTAAGAAAAGTAATGTCTGTCGTCAATGGACCTGTGTGCATTACACAGCAGTCTGCACATCGTGGCAAAAACTGCGAGGCACCAATATCAGGAGGGATGACAGAAAAGCTGCCTTGGTGGATAAAGCCAGTTGACAATTAACAACATTTAATTCCTTTGCTTACCTTTAAAATCAAACTGGTAGATGTTTTTCAAAGATTCATGAAGAAAGTAAAAACTTCCTAGAGCCTGTAAAAGACAGCAATAAAATAAATTATAAAAATATCTACTTTGGCTAACTAAAAAGTATCATGCTTTCCAATTAAAAAAAAAAAAAAAACCCGGAAGAAATGAAATGCTAATAAATAAAATGACTGATTTTTACACCTTCTAAGACCTATAAAAATATTAATTTCCTCTGTTGCTTCTCTGGATTCTCCTAAGCCATTATGAAGATCCTTAGCAGCTGACGAAGCCTGGCAAGGGCACAATTACCAGGTGTCCTTTCAGACATACCAAGCGGATGGATGCACTTGGTAACACAGACAAATACCCTTCTAAGCACGGAACGCATCCCCACAATCCCTGACAATTTCCGCTTCGCTTTCAGAGCAAAACAAATGGTTTTGGAGGCTGCAGTATGGAAACAAGGGTTGAGAGATCCAACAGCTCTTGAGAACGGGGCACGGGTTTCCCATCTTCCCACTGAGTTGAGCAGAGCGAACCGTTTTGCCAGCTGCAGAGCAGGCAAATCTAGCAGGAGTGTTGGCAATATTTGTACATGCTTGCACGGCTTCCCCTCTTACTAACTGTTTTGACGGTAACCGTAATGACGGAACAGTACAGAACCTCCACCTCTGCCGGCCCCGCCTGGAGAGCAACTGCTGCTCCTGGCTCCGGCGTGAAGCCCACGGGGGCAAGGGGGTTCTCATGGACCCAGAGAGGAAGGATACACAAATACCGAGCTGAGGGGCTTAGGTGTCTGAATACACGTTAAGTTTCTTGACCCTGGCAGAACTGATGTGTTTCTAAGTGTAAACAGAAGCAGAGTTTGGTGCCCACAACGATACAGGAAAAATTTGAGTTACTGTTGGAAATAAAATCCCCTGTGTTCATGGTTAAGATTCAGACAGGACTTACAACTCTTGCTGATCCAGTCCTGAGCAACTCTTTGGTTTAATTTTTTTTCAAAATGGTGACCTAATCCAGCTACGGAATTCTGTTACAGTTTTAATGATTAGTCCATGACTGAGGAAAGCACGTAAACGTAGAGGTAATCTTGGAAAAGCTGGTGAACTCCCATTGCAGGACATCGCTTTTAAAAGCACACCAAAGTCCACCAACGTTCTGCAAAATATTGTATCTCTTCCTTACAAATACTCAAGTACTTTCCTGGTTTCTGAAGATTTCTGAGATCTTAATCCTCAGTCCATTACTAGCGAAAGCCTCTTTGCTCAGCTACCACCTACGCAGAGCCCTCAGCTGCACAGGCACGAGTGCTTTGGTCCCAGCGTGGACAAGAGCCGAAATGCCAGCCACCTTCGGATGGCCCCAGCGCGGGTGGGCTGGCTGGCTGGCGAGGACGGCAGCCAGCCCACTGCGGATTTTAGGACCCTTTTCTCTGCCGCAGCATTCCCATGAGATATGAGGAAACCCACTCCAAGCTTCCCACATCTAATAGCCACTTGTCCCTCATTTTCTGGGCACCCACTCCCAGACCTCGGGGACGCAGTTTACAGAAGCCCCGAGCAAACGCAGCTGCAAGCGGCACGGATGGCGCCGTGCTGCACGCACGCGTCGTCACAGAGTGAAACTGAAGTAACGCCAGCCGCAACCACAGCGTCTTCCGCAAGCGAGATAAAGAAAGGAAGATCTGAAGCGCAAGGGACCGTCTAGCCCTGGGGCGGTTCTCGAGCAGGGCAATAAAATGCCCCTGGCCACATGCCAGCACAGAGGCTGCCGGGGCAGACCCTGCGGCGGCTGCTGCAGGACGCGGCACGGCTCACGGCGTCAGGGTGAGCTGGCCATCCCTCCTCTGCTCCAGAACCTGCCGCCCAGACAGGACCCAGCGCAGCCTAGACCTGGGGCTTTAGCTAGGCTGCGACGCAGAAAGACAACCCTGTTGTCACAGGAGGGACCATTCCTCCACCACCACATTTTCCAGGGTCTGCACGTTACAACTTTAGGCCATGCCCAATAAACAACTTTCTAACTTGCACCTGAAACACTCTGCAGAAGAGGCTTCCACAGCCTCCCGACGCAGCCTGACATAGTTTTTCCCTATCCTGAAGGTACAGAATTTCCCTAACAGGGACCACCCTCGTGGCCGCCCTGCTCCAGTCTTTCCTTCGCACCCTCCCAGCGTGACCCCGGCTGCTTCTGCAGCGAACGTCCCGGGGCGCTCAGGCCGAGACAGCCCCTTCCCGGCCCCGGTTACGCCATCGAGGCTTTGCCAAGGTCTCACCTACACGTGCTGTCAGCTTGCCGCTTCGTTTTACTTCCCCACAGTCATACAACACGCTGCTCACCTCCAGTTTATGAGGGGGAAATTACATGTTAGAAGAGACTAAGGGAAAATCAAGTGAGAAAGGAAAAAGTAGTGTAAACGGACTTTATAGCGGAATATCAAAAAATGTAGAAATTTTAAATGAGAACTTGATGAGCCTTTAAATACATCTGACGCACTCAGCAGAAGTTTGGGGGGTTGGGGGGGGGAAGCAGCCTGCCACTGGATAAACTCTTACTGATAAGTATAAAAGGAGCCACTTTAAACAAAAAGGATGATTTAGTTTCATTTTGCCTTTTCCTCTTGTAACGACAGAGACCCTCCTGGCAGCGCAGCGCTTTGGTTCAGTGACTGCTGCATTATTTATGAGACGCCGCACATCCCGAGATTAAACATTTGCTGATTTGTCAAAAGCACAAACATGAGGCCCTGCCCATCTCCTTGACATATTAGTCCATCCAACAGAAAACACTGTCACGCATTTAATTGATGAGCACGCGTCCCTGCGACCCAGGCAGCTCCTTTACGTCTTTGGTTTTCTTCTTTATAACATGGAGAAGGCAAATAAGAAAACGCAGGAGAGACCGTTGTAGGGGCCTCAAGGTCAACTCTCCTGCAACAAGGACACGCCGCCAGAAAAAATAAATCCTGATGCGAGATAAAAACATCGCCACCTGATACTGAATTTCTAACTGAGGAAACTGTCATCAGCAATAGCAGACGCTGCTGTCTCACCCTAAACTTTCACCGTTCTCTGGCCTTTGGGTTTTAAAACCAGGAGATTATTCTTAAATAGCAACGCGTTTGCAGGGAGGTTTTTGTAGAGAAAAGTTATGTTCTGTCTCTCAGAGAGCTACAACTACATCAAAGTCTTGAAAGCACAGGCAAGCTACAGGTAAAATTCAACTGCTGTACTTGAAAATGACTTTCCTAACCTCGCTCACAAAGCCCCCAATTAAAACAAGGAAAGAAAAAAATAATGCTGTCGCAACTTCAAATGTTGCGGGAAGGCAGAAAATCCTGCATTCAAAGTGCCCGCTGCTTTGAACGCACGCCGCGCCGCTCAGACGCGGCATCACCAGGGAAAAGCACGGATGGAAGAAAGGCACTTCAAGAGCCCCCCTGGAGGAAACCAGGTTACGGCGAGGCTGGGATGGGGTTAGAACGCGGGGCGCCGCTCTAGCACCCTTGCTTCATGGGGACTCGTGAAGGCAGCGGCAGCGCCCGGGTCCCCAAACGCCGCTCGGGTGAGCAGGCGTCCCACCATATGGTTCTGTACCCCAGATCTTCATCTTAGGCGCAAGCATCTGACATGCCTCACGTCGAGGTGTTTTACACGCACACCGTTTTCACCCTACCGAAATCAGTGCCATCGATTACCACGTAAAGCGCTTCCGTGTGGAGGGATGCCCTATGGTTGAGCTCTTACCTGCTCATTTATTCAGAGGGCTGACTTTACATAAAAGCTTACAACCTAAGAGTTATATCAAATTTAAATCATTTTAACCTGATATATTTGTGTTACACAAAAAAAGGGACGTATAAACAGCTGGATGACATCTCAGCTGTACATTCCAGCTGAGTACGGTCACCCTACTTCACCAGAAGCTATGAGTAACTCAACAGAGTGCACTCAAGTCACTTCTCTAGGCTTGAGCCGTTTTCCCCTCTCCTGCTCTTTCCGAATTCTTCCCGGTTGGTCCATCTCTTTCTTCAACGCATAGGCCAAAATCGGCCATAAATAAAGACAGCTTTATTTCAGCTCCTTATATGGTCCTCAGAAGAAAAAAAAAAAAAAAAAAAAAAAAAAAACCCTGGGCAAGCATCTGGAAAATATCATCCCAAATGCCTCAAGTCTGAAAAACATAAAAGCAAATGAAAAAGGGATCCTGGAATGGGAAATCCCGGGCTACGTCAGTAACACATGGCCAGCCCAGCCTACATCTAAACACTGTTTTAGGTGGAGCTTTTCTTCTTCCCATAATCTAGGGTAGCAGAATCAGGCAGGCTGGAAGGAACCCTGGGTCCGAAGCAGGGCTGGCAGCCGAGCTGCTCAGGGCACTGCCCGGATGATGCAAAGGGCTGCGGGGTGGGAGACTGCCTCCCCTTCCGAGGCCTCCGTTTGACCACCTCCAGGGCAAACCTTCTTCCTTTTATTCTCGTTGGGATTCCCCTTGCCACAGCTGAGATGGAAATGAAAGGCTAGTGGAAAAAAAAAATGTTGGAAATAGTGGCCTATCCAGATCAGGCACAAATAATTGTAAAGACAGGTGAAAACCTACGTCTAGGTGACAAGGTTATGAATTCTGAAGCTTCTCCATGTCACGTGTCACTAAAGTAAGCCAAGGAGAATCAAGGTGCTCTGCACCCTGCTTTATTTAGATGCCTCAATTCCATTAAACACGCTACTGCCACACTACTGCTCAAGCTACAACTTTATTTCTGAGCATCCCGCCTTGCACGCTGCTTGGCTTCTGGCAGTTTTAATCTTATTTTTACAAACTAATCTTGAAGAACCAGGTAGCAAAAGTTGGGTTTGATTGTCTGCACTCGTGGCCCTGAGCGTCAGGTAACTGTGCACAAAGCCTCCCCGCGCGGTGCCAGGAGCCGATGCTGCCACCGTCAAGGTAGGCTTCGACGGGGTAAGCCTCAACACGCCACCGAAAGGTGCAAAACTGCACCAGAATGGAAATTACAGCTATCGCTGTCTGCCGCGCCGTTATAGACTTAATCAGGTTTATGTAC